AAGGAATTGGGAATAGGGGATAGCATTTTTGCAGGAAGGTGGGTGGGAGGAGGAGTATTCTAGGTAGCTGTGGGAGTCGGTGGGCTTGAAATGAATATCGGTTTCGAGGTGGTTGCCCGATATGGAGACAGAGAGGTCCAGGAAGGGGAGAGAGGTGTTAGAGATGGTCCAGGTAAACTTAAGGTTGGGGTGGAAGGTGTTAGTGAAGTGTATGAACTGTTCGAGCTCCTCGTGGGAGCACGAGGCGGCGCCGATACGCGCCGATACACATATGTGTGTTTGTCACAAGCAGACGTGCACACACATGTGCCATACCACTTTGTAATATATGCGACTGGATTCTAAGTTAGTCAGCTTACTTACACTGCCCAAGAAAAATTTAATCTGTCTCTTTCTCAAATGACATGGGAAGGATAATGGAACAATATCACCAGTATTACAGAGTGCTGTAGTGAAGGAAGAGGCCATCATTTGTAAATACACACCAGTGGTTTCAGCTACAGCTTTACTGCTGGTCAATTATTGCAAAGAAGATAATCTAGTGAACAATAGGGGTGTGGATAGATATACGATGAGATATGTCATCCCTTGGTCCATGTCCAGTACCATTTTCTCCCTAAGGGACATGAACAATGAAGATCCCCAAATTATTGGCATTGAGAAAAAAAAATACAATTCATCACAGATCATTTTGTTTTCCATTTGGTCACTTATACTTCCTACAATTTTGAATGTATAAAGGGAGACTAATAATTAAATGTAGGGGAAAGTGACCCTCACTCATTAGATTTGATGAAATTTTAACTGGATCCCTAAAGAACCATGTGTCAAAAATACCCATTGGCTGAATTTTTAGATATTTTTAGCAAAATAATGTTTGGGCGAGATCATGGCAGGTGGCCCTGTGAGTGTGAAGTATCATAGAGAAGATAGTGTCACTTAGGCTTGAATAGTGCAGAAGATCAGTAACCTTTCTATGCACTGACGTGCTTTGTGCTTCTCTTGGGACACAGTACTGACCCAAACCACTATCTCGGTTGAGGCTGGCTAAGAATGGTGGTGTGGTCTCATTTGCTAGTCAGCAGGAGAAAGCACTGTCCACCTTTCCAACAGCACTTCCAGGTCCCTGTGGGAGAAATGAGGTACTAACTTGCCTTTCTGGGCCATTTCTCTCAGGAAAACAGTGCAGGAGCACAGTGTGAAGGGCACTTTCTGGATTGCAAAGCCTTAAGTACTGTGGAGCTGTGTTTAAATATAATACCAGTCACATAAACATCACAAGGTCTCATCAGCAGCAAGCAGTTCACCTCTCCTGCTGCATGACTCTATGAGATGGGCAGCAGAAAGGACCTTTGCATAATTAGTGAGCTGAATATCTGAAGATTGCATGAGAAAAACCAACATCTTGTACAGATGCATAAGATGTGTGTGTGTCATGCAGTCAAAACAATCTGGCAGAATCATGACGTAAATGTCCCTCTGCTCCAAAGTGAAGTCCTGAATGTTTGCCGTAGTGTGTGGTTGCCCAAAAAGCGGCTATGATGATGTGATGAAGTAGCTGTTTGGTGTTGCCAATTTGCATCAATAAAGGGTGGAAGAGGACAGTGTCCATGGAGCATGTCGAGACTTGGTTGTGAAGACAGTGCTGTTGAAGGCCTGGGATAGTCATCCGTTGCCGCCAGGTTAACAGCTCTGACATTCATGTCAAAACCTCGCATAATCTAGTTTCTGAGTGAAGAAGAGAATTGGGAACAGCACAGAAATTAAGCAAAATTTGCCAACAATGACAATCAAGGACATTGTGGGAAGCTGGGGAAAAAATTGCAGGGCCCCTAGCAGAGATATTGTATCATCTATTAGCCACGTGTGAGGTCCCAAAGGACTGGAGGGTGGCTAATGTTGTGCCTTTATTTAAGAAAGGCTGTAAGGAGAAGCCTGGGAACTATAGACCAGTGATTCTGACATCAATGGTGGGTAAGTTGTTGGGAGGGGATTCTTAGAGACAGGATTTACATGCATTTGGAGAGGCAAAGCCTGATAGACATAGTCAGCATGACTCTGTGCATGGGAAATTGTGTTTCACAAACTTGATTAAGGTTTTTGAGGACGTAACCAAAAAGATTGATGAGGGCACAGCGGTAGATGTTATCTACGTGGACTTTAGTAAAGCCTTTGACAAGGTTCTGCATCATAGACTGATTAGTAAAGTTAAATCACATGGAAGTCAGGGAGAGCTTGTCAATTGGATGCTAAATTGGCTTGATGGTAGGAGACAGAGTGTGGTGGTAGAGGGTTGTTTTTCACAAACTGGAGGCCTGTGACCAGCGCTGTTCTGCAGGATCAGTGCTGGGTCCATTATTGTTTGTCATTTATATAAACAATTTGGATGAGAATTTAGGAGGAATGGTTAGTAAGTTTGCGGATGACACCAAAATTAGTGGTATAGTCAACAGTGAAGAAGGTTATCTAAGATTTAAAAGGGATCTTGATCAATTGGGCCAATGAGCTGAGGAGTGGCAGATGAGTTTAATTTGGATTAAAGCGAACAAGGCCAGGACTTATAAGGTTAATAGTAGGACCCTGGGTAGTGTTGTCGAACAGAGAGACCTAAGGGTTCAGGTACATAGTTCTTTGAAAACTGCATCATAGGTAGACAGGGTGGTTAAGTAAGTGTTTAGCACGCTTGCCTTCATTCCTCAGACCTGTGAGTGTACGAGTAGCGACGTTATGTTGAGGTTATACAGGACATTGGTGCAGTCACTTCTGGAGTACTGTTTATTGTTTGATCAACCTGCTATAGGAAGGATATTATTTAAATTGGAGAGGGTTCAGGAAAGATTTACCAGGATGTTGCCGGGATTGGAAGGTTTGAGTTATAAGGAGAGGCTGGGACTTTTTTCATTGGCGTGTAGGAGGTTGAGGGGTGACCTTATAGAGGTTTATAAAATCACGAGGGGCATAGATAAAGTGAATAGCGAAGTTCTTTCCCTAGAGTAGGGGAGTTCAATGCCAGGGGCATATTTTTAAGGTGAGAAGAGAAAGATTTAAAAGGGACTTGAGAGGCAACATTTGCATACAGAGAGTGGTTTGTATGTGGAATGAACTGCTAGAGGAAGTGGTAGATGCAGGTACAGTTACAACATTTAAAAAACATTTGGATAAAGTACATAAATAGGAAAGGTTTGGAGGGATATGGGCTAAATGCAGGCAAATATGATTAGTTTAGTTTGGGAAACATGGACAAGTTGGACCGAAGGGTCTGTTTCTGTATGTATGACTCTAGATCTATACCTATATAAATGCAGGGAAATAAGGCAGTCGGGTTTCATTAGTGAGATTTGCAACTTGGTGTTTAAATTCTAAGGGTAAAACTCACATATTTTTCTTAATAACAGTAATCTGATTTTTTTCCATTTTCATCTTATTTTTCCAGTTTCTTGCCATTCCCCACACCCATCAAGGGAGTGGAAAATTCTATCTATTATTTCAGAAATTCTACTAAGAGGTTATTTTATTTTATAATATGGTGTAATATGTGAAGCTAATTCTACAGACTTTGAAAAAAAGTCTTGTTTCCACATACCTCCTGTATCAATGGGGATGATTATCACACAGAGACAGATTGATTGGGAATCCCGTCCTAGGTAGTGAAAAGTGTGAGGAAGTACTGAGGAAGGGTCACTGGACCTGAAACGTTAACTCTTTTTTCCTTCACAGATGCTGCCAGACCTGCTAAGCTTTTCCAGCAACTTTGTTTTTGTTCCTGATTCACAGCATTCGCGGTTCTTTTGGTTTTTATTTGTGTGGTGAAAAGTGTGTGTATGTCTGCTTTCTAGCAATGCATGCATGTGTTCCTTTATGATCTATGTTCCACTTGGCATTGCAGATACACAAATCACTCAGTTCCAAAGCTCAAGAGTTCACCCCTGAATTGAAATTAAAACTATCAAAAACAGGTTTCAGCATCAATTAAATCAGAACAGAATTTATTTATATATTTGTTCAACATTTCACTAAAATTCATCTATACATATAAAACAAGTATGAGTCTAATTAATATCCGTGATGTATAAGCATATAAGACGTAATAGGTAAGATGTAGTGTTGTATTGCTTAACAAAATTCATTTAAATGACAGAAAAACAAATGTAATTTTTAAGTTCTCATTAATAGTATAAACTTCAATTAGAGTTATTCTGTATTGCAATTTATTCTGCAAGGAAGAAAACTTCTTCCAGCCCAATTTAAACTGGGTCCCATTCCAGTTCTTGGTACGAGATGCCTTGCAGGTTTTTCACTTATAAAATGCATATTAGGCTGCAAACAAACCTGATGGGTCTTTTTCTTCTGCTTGATCTGGTCTCTTCCTTTTTGCTCGTCTAACCATTCCTTCTGGAATTTATTCTCCAGTAGGTCAAACATTGGGGTTGAGGGCCTGAGGGAAAGCGTTACAAGTCAATAAGCACCTTGAGTTGACTATTAGGATGCTCAAATATTTATTCCCTGATGATGAGCAAAATAAGACAGAAACTGGCTATTTATATTTAAAAAAAACTATAAAAGGTTAGATTTGTAACTGTTATCTAAGAATGGGAAACTCTTGCAAAAAGCTATGAAAGATTTGTATAGGTCAGGCAATTGAGAAAATGTTTCCACATGTGGGAAGGGCAGAATGAGAGGCCATAAATACAAGATAGTCACTAATAAATTTAATAAGTATTCAAGAATAATTTATTTATTCTAGAATGTGGAACTCACAATTACAGGGAGCAGCTGGGGCAAATATCATTTATGAATTTAAGAGGAAATTGGATAAGAACATAAGAGAGAAAGGTAAAAGGATATATTGATGAGATTAGATGAAAGAGATTGAAGGGCGGCTCATGTGGAGCATAAACACTGGCATAGACTTGTTGGGCTAAATAACCTGTTTTGGTGCTGTAACTATTTTGCGACCTTGTGGTTTCTGTGATTTTACATGAGATAGTTACATTTTGGCCTTGTAAGAATAGTCACTAGACTTCAGGAATAATTATTGTATGGTGTGTTCTGGGTGTTAAAATGCAAATGTTTGTTTATCCCCTCAGTTCTTCCAGCTGTGCTTATCAGAAAGCTGTGCTTTATTGCTTAAGGTGTGCAGAAAGACGTGATTGTTTTTCCAATTTTAAATTTCTTTTCTCAGGTAAAACTAATAGTCTTTGGATTATTTCTTACTCAAGTTAAAGGAAACCTAATTATTGCTGATTTGAAATAATTTTAGGATAAATATAGAAAAATAAGACCAGGCAAGAATTTTGGATAGCATGATTGACAAGTGAGAGCCTTTCAGTGCCATTGGCCCCTGCATTTCTGAGATTAGCAACTGCCTTTGAATCACCTCCTGTAACCTACCACAAAAGTTACACTGTATTTTTTTTCTATACATTTATATTGGATAGCTGGGTGTCTGAAAGGTGGTGGTGGAGAATAATTTTACCTTTGGTCTCAGATATTTTGTGGAAGTAACTATTTTTGTGGTAAATAATTTGTTTTTCCCCCAATTTGTTTTGCATTGTCAGTAATGCAAGAAAATTAAGCTATACAATGCACGTTTACTGAGGAATAAAATCAAATTTATTACTAGGAAATACACTGTGCTATGTATTTTATTGAGAATAATAGGTTAGTAACTATGAGTCGGTATCTCCATCAAGAATTCTGTGGTGAGAAACAGTTAATGTTTCAAGTAAATGATGATCAGTTCCGATGAATGTGGATGCACGTAAAAAAATGAGTGGGGTCATAACATAAGAGTGAATGGTCACCATTAATATTAATTCTGTCTTTCTCCACAGCTGCTGCCTGACATACCGAGAACTTCCAGCATTTCTAGGTTTTATTTCAGATGTCCAGGATCTTCAGTATTTTGATTTTGAATCTCACCAAGAGGCCTGGATGATGGAAAAACTGCTTTCATATAACATGAAAGATTTATAACTAGTGAACTCAGGAGTAAGATTACACGGCGAAACTACTCCAGGATAATTCTTATTCCTCTAAAATAATGCCAGCTGATGTTATATGGAATTGCCATCAAGATGATATCAGACGGTGTACTGAGCATGGTTATTTGTGCGTGGATCTGGGTGTATGATACAGTGGGCTGTGAGTGTCAAAGCACCCCATTCTGAATGTAGCTTGCTCATGGGAGGAGCAAGGATTGTAGCATAATCATCACACTTGGCTTGAATGGTAACCTGCACTCAATTAGTAGAAATATCCAGGTATATATAATGTTGAAACTCAAGTTTCACATCCAACCATTGAAACACTTAGTTTGGTGGTGGTCAAAAATTCCACTGCACTGGGATTGCTTTGTAGATTTTTTTACTATATTTCTCAAAAAATGTAAATTAGAATTAAAACCTTTTTTTATAAATAACAGATAGATTCTGGACCAAACAGAAAATTAGTTAATGTATTTGACTAAACATTTAAGCTAATTTATGATTTATGAATTGAAAATGTTATCTGGCTCAGTACAATTCTTTAATTCCACAATTTATTCACTCGAAAAGATTTTCAGAAAATCTTTTTATAGATGTATATTAGAAAAACATATGCGCATATTTTGTAAAATGCAGGGGGCTTGAAGAATTAATGTGTTTTTCTTACTTGAGATGTGAAAAGTCACTGTTACTGCAGCAGCAGTGTTCATACTGAAAACCTTAGCAGCACTCACCTTTTGTACTTGCATGGAAACACTCAAAATCTGTCCCTGGTCCACCCGAACTGATTCACAGCAGGGAGTGTGCAATGCTGTGACACTGTTCCTTTGGGGCCAGGTACACAATACAGGTTTCCACCTGCATGCTTCTATTCAGCTAATTGTTCCCTCCTGGCCCAGTCTGTCTGTACTAACAAGGACAGTAGCATGTTGGTAATTGAAGTACTTAGCAGTAAACACATGAACAGGATACTGTGACTAATTAGGGAGGAGTGGGAGGGCCATTGGCTATTTAATTATTTGTGGTTTATGGGAAAATCTTAAAATGGAGAAGGTTAAGATATTCATTCGGATTGTGCAATAAGGTATTCCTCAGTTGCATTTTGAAAAAGATCTTGCACAATATTGAAGTAGTTATTATGATGTGGCACAAGTGTGGTGGATTGATTGGTATCAACCACTTGTGTCAATCCTTTCTGTCATATTTTTGATCTTCAGATGTCCAGTACAAGAGATTATTCTTGTTATTTTAGCAGCAGCAATAATATTAAAGATGAGTGGTGAAGGGGAGATAAAGTTGCAACGACATTAACAAATGTCGCTGTCTAATGCGGTGCAGTACGAGAGTTTGCTATATCGTCCCAGGCTCTGCCTTTTGATGAGACTCTTATCCAAGGCCTTCTTGGGGGAATGTAAAAGATTCCACAGCACTATTCATGGAGGGGTTCTCCCAGTGTTCTGGCCAACATTTATACATCGATGCACATCATTAAAACACATTTTTTGCTCATGTATGTTACTCATGTCTATAGGATCTTGCTGTGCAAAAATTGGCCACAGTTGTCTACATTTCAACAATGAATTGATTGACTGAGAAGCTTTTTAGGGCACCCTGTTATCACAAAATGAGATGTGTAAAATTCAACATTTTCCTTCTTTTCCACCAAAATAGATGTAACAGATTAAACCTCTTTGAGATTCTGGGAAGATCTAAAGGGAGATGATGGCCTAGAGGTATTACTGCTGGACTGTTAATTCAGAGACCTAGGTAATGTTCTAGGGACCTGAGTCCGAATCCCACAACAGCAGATGGTGGAATTTGAATTCAACTAAAATCTGGAACTATGAGTCTAATGATTACCATGAATCCATCGTCAGGAAAAGCCTATCTGGCTCACTACTAATAGCTATTCACCCTCCTAGCCAGATTGTTATCCACTCCTTTGTCTGTCCAATTGCTCTTCTCTCTCTTTGGCCTCTAAGCCCACATATCATTTACTCCTTAAACCTCCCACCCTCCCTCCACAACCACCCTATCTTCTCCATATAAACCAACATTTTCCTAGCAGCCATCAGTTCGACCTTAAACGTTAACTCTGATTTCTTTCCACAGATGTTGCTGAGTTTTTCCAGCAATTTCTATTTTTGTCCCTGGTTCACAAATGTCCTTTAGGGAATGTCCTGTAAATGAATTTAAAAGATCACTTTTATCTTAATCAAATAATGCAATGAAATATCACAAAGGCACTTGCATCATGGAGGTTGAGTGTTTATACAGCATTCAACAATACTATACACTTAGAATTCTCCACATACAAGTCCATAAGGAGGAAATGCTGCAATATGAAGGGAAAAGGGTAAAAAGTCCAGAGACTAGGATAGAAATCTGAAACCACAATCAATGAAGAAACTTTTCGAGATATTTTTGAAAGCAGGAAGGGAGGTGGCAAGGGTTAAGGAACTGGATAGGGAACTCCAGACAGCCAAGTTGTAAAATGCAAATGTTCAGCCACCAATGATGGAGTAGAGGGTTTAATCAGTGTTTATTCTGATTACTGTGATGCCCCACAGAGATTTGTTTTGGCATCTTAATTATTCACTTATTAGGTAAAGGTAAAATCACCAAAGTCCTACCATCTCATTGGAGAGAGATAACAGGTAGTGAGTTTAACCTAAGCATTGCCAAGGTGCACTCACAGTGACCTCAGCCAGGAACTGAACCCACATTGTTGGCGTCCTTCTGCATCTAAAACCAGTTTTCCAGCCAACTAAACTAACCACTCACTGCACTTCCTATGACTTAGATGATGAAAAATAGCCACATGTCCAAGTTTGCCGATGGCACAAAGATAGGCAAAAATGTAGATGGAGGCATAAGATTACAGAGGTATTAATTGATTAAATGAATGGGAAAAACTGTGGAAAATGGGTTTCAATGAAGCCAAGTGTGAGGTCACCTACTTTGTACCTGAAAGTACTTTCTAAATGATGGAAGGATAGAAACAATAGAGGTACAAAGAAACTTCAGGATTCATACACTTAGATCATTAAATGTCAGGGACAGGTACAAAAATAAAAAAAAAAGCTAATGAAATGCTGGCCTGTATATCATGAGGAATAGAATAAAAGAAGATAGAAGTCTCTATCTATACAGAGACCTGATTAGGTCAGGAATGCCGTGTTCATTCTGGGAAAAGTGCAGAATACTGACCATACACAATCTAGGGTCTTATTCACCGGAATTTTAAAGACTTATGATTAAACAAATTTTTCAAGATATTAAGAGAACAGTTAGAATATCAGCCAACAAACTTCTTTTTCTGTTTATTTCAGTGATGAAATTAGGAAGCACTCCTAGATAAATTGGATAGTAGAGTTTTGGAATACTCTTCCACAAGTAGTAGTTAATGTTGGTCAGTTGTTAAAGTTAACTTAAAATAACATCAACT